TACCAAGGAAATTTTCAAAATGAGAGACAAAAAGGTTGGGGACCTCATCATTAGAAACCCAGAGACCGTCAGTATTTTGAATGGTATCAATGTGATTCTTGCTGATACGACTCTTGACCGACTTATGAAAGAAAGAAGAATTTCGGTCTCCCTCACGGAGCCAGTTGATCTTGGCTTTTTGCTTCAGGAACCGCTCCTCATCAAGACAGGCACTATTGTAGGCAGATAAGTACCCACAGTGTTCCTCTCGGAGGGCCCCATTTTCAGGGTCCCTATCCAGCGCAATCTGGACCCTGTCAAGCTCAAGCCGTAACTTAGTAACTTTAGAATGAAGATTACCCTGATCACTAAGCATCTTACGGAGGGGCCCTTTGAGATTTTTAAGATTTTGAGAGATCTTATACATCTCACGACCAACAAGATCAGGGTGCCAATGAGAAGACACAACATTCAGAAAAGGCTCTTTATACGTAAGAAGGTTGGGGAACTTGAAAGGTTTGGGTTTACGAGGAGAGGTAGAAGGAAGAGTAAGAACAGCGGGGCTATGATCCGAAGACCGATAGGGAAGAAAGACAACAGAAGCAGAAGGAAAACGAGCAAGGGAATGAGAATTGCCCAAGACACGGTCAATCTTTTTAAGAAGACCTCCCGTACCGTTGGGGTTTTTAGTCCAAGTAAAGAACAGACCCTTGAAATTGACATCCTCCACCTCAGGGTGTCGGACACATTGACGAAAATCATCCATACCTCGATTAGGGCCCGATATGCCAGAGGGTTTAGGGTTTAGGGTTTAGGGTTTAGGGTTTAGGGTTTAGGGTTTAGGGTTTAGGGTTTTTTTTTTGATAGAGAGGGGGGTGACCCCTCCAGATCTAGAAAAAAACACTTAAACGCTAAAAAGCAAGACAAAATACGCGCTCGGGTGGGGGCGAACCACAATCCACCAGAAAACCAAGGCACCCGGAGAAAAAGAAGGAGGAAGAAAGGAAAGAAGAAAGACGAGAGGAAGAGAAAGAGAGAAAAGAGAAACAGAGAGAGGGGAAGAAACGAAAAGAGAGAAGAAGAGGGGGAGAAAGAGAAAGAGAGAGAAACCGACCACAAGGGAAGGGCCCAGCCAAGGCAAGACCGGGAAACAACGGGGAACACCACAAGAGCAAGAGAAGGGGCCTAACAAAGGCACACCCTAGACCGCACCAAGGAAACCGGGAGAGCAACGGAGCTCACAAGACCAGAAAAAACAGCAGCACACAAAGAAAGAGAGCTAAGGGAGATTCCAGGCAAGCCTAGCTCGGGCAACATTAGGAGAGGGCTTGAGGGTCAGGCTAAGAAGCCTGGACCGGACATCGTCGGTAATCGTCTTAACCACCATAATATACGATCTTCTTTTATTTTTGAAGATGCGATTATTCCTTTCCTGCCACAGGTGGTAGACAGTTCCAGCTAGCACTAATCTGCGAATAATAGACCAGACGGTCTTTCCATTGGTAGCT